AAACGTGTTTCAGAATCAAGAACAAGGGTGAACTACCAAGAACACTGTGTGACAAAGTATGTGAAAAGGTACAAGGCCTAGAACAACGGTGAAAGCAAAAAAGTCGTGAGCAGTGCGAGTATTCAAGACATGGGAAAAGAGAAAAATCGTGAAATAAATACACTCAGAGGCATGATTCATGAATCAAATATTTGAGTAAAATAGCAATGGCCACTAATGATAAAACAAAAATTTCTTGGAGCACAACAAGAACTAAAACTAGGAGGAATGGTGACTTACCAGAGAGACGAAGCCGATGTTGAGATCGCTGAAGTCAAAAGAACGGCGGCAGCGAAACAGATTGGCAAGAACTTCGCCGGAGGAAATGGACAGAGCAAGTTGCAGAGCTTTGGAAGCTTGAACAATGGAGGATCTTGAAGGGAAAAGTTAGAAAGAGAAAAAGAGCTTCAGACGCGAAAGTGAAAAGTGAAGAGATGAAGAGAAAGAAACAAGTTTTGTCAAAACTTGAAACGGTAGCAAAAAGGGCAATTAATGCGTCTGGAACAACGAATGCGTCAGACGACGCATATAGGCACCAGACAACTTGCGAGCGCGTACGGAGTACGATCCCGTAAAAGGAAGACGCGTGGCTGAAACGATTGAATTATTTTGCATGATAGCTCATACGCGTGAAGGAGATCTTAGAAACTTTTAAACCTTAAAGAGACATGTCAGCCTATAATGATGATCTCGGCTGAAGCCGATGTACTAGCAGGAAGTACCGATATAGGTTCCATCATCTCAAAATGCCGAGGTAATAGAACCTAGGGGGCAGTTTTAGGGATATATTTTTTGAGTCCCAACACGTGGCGAAGGTGACGCCGACGTGTCAGCTGAGGTGCCACGTGTCCAGGTTGTGACGCCAAGGTTATCTCGGTTAGGCCAAGGTTATCTCCGAAGATATCGGAATCCGAGATAAACGGATAAGGCACAAGAGTCCTAGAATGAGGAAGGGCTTTAGTGTGGATAAGGATAACACTCTTAGGGAGTTTATCTTTATCTCTTGAAGAGTCTAGGATAAGCACTGAGCAAAAGTCCATTGAAGCTAGGCTTCTATGGGGACTAGAATGAAGTTAACTATAAAAGAGAGGCACCCCCGATGGGTCTAAGGTACGCAATTTATATTCTGAACAGTGAGTTTAGCACTATTGATTATCTTTGAGAGATATACTGACTTGATCGTCGGAGTGCCCCCTAGTGGACGAACCACCGCCGGAATCTTCTCTTTCTATTACAGGTCAGCCAGGTGTTATCTATTCTGCCAGTACTCTCCAGCTGAATACTAAGTTGGCAGTGTGATCGGAAAATCACTCACACAAGAAGTATAGGCAAGAGTGCAGAGAGAAGAATGAAGGAAGAGGCATCACTGAAAAATTATTAGAAGGAAAGGGCAACCAAATTGATACCTGTGCAACTCGATTGGACTCATAAACAACCAAGTTAAACGGAAAATTATTTCATTTGGTTTGAGATTTTATTAGATATGGGGGTCTATATGTGATTTGTTGCAGATTTGATATTGCATCTATATTGAATCTATATTTGATAAGCTTATAGGTTTGTAATTTTTCTTTTTGGGTTTGAATCTGGGTTTATTTTGTAGTGGATGTGATTTGGTAGTTTTTAGAGAGAGAAAAGAGGAAGAATAAGGAGATGAAGAAAAATAGATGGTGGGTTTGGTAGTTTCTATAGATAGAAAGGAAGAAGAAGGAGATAGAGAAGAAGAGGTGGTGGGTTTGGTTCAAAAATGAAAAGGGGCTGAAATGCAAAGTAAAAAAAAAAAAAGAATCCCTAAAACGACGTCATTTTGGCCAGCGCGACAAGGAAGGCCGCAAAGAAGTATGATCGACGATCTGAACTCATTTATCCATGTGGACAAGCTCATGCAAAATGACTAAATTATCCCTCCATTTTCACGTGTTTTAAGACATTGGTCTTCTCTCAGATCGCACATTTCTCTCTCTCTCTCTCTCTCTCTCTCTCTCTCTCTCTCTCTCTTCTCTCTGAGATTAGGGTTTTGAACTGCCACATCCATTGAAGCCCTCTCACTCGCAACAGCTCTCACATTTTCCCCACACCATCGCAGCCTCGCCTCATCACCTCCACTCATCTCTCTCACTCTTCCTCTCTCTCTATCTTATCTCTCTTTGATCTAAACCCTAGCCGTCACTTCTTCGCCACCACCTTTGTTGGTAGCTCTAGTGACACAGCTCTACACATACTTCGTGGAATGAAGACGGATCTACGAATCCAGTCCCGACCTGAAAATTAACATCTGTGGCCAGTCTCTCTCCGCTTCATAGTGGTTCTCAGCGTCGACGCTTCGTATACAGGCGAACTCCGTCTTTCTCTCTCTTTAGATCTAAGCTATGCACACCGATCCACCAGTTGCTGTTTCTTCACCCTCTTATCACAACCAACTGGTCCATTAAGGTGATGTTGACATCCCCAATATCAATCCTCCTTGGCCCCGTCATTGCCTTTGATTTTAGTTTCGAAGCTTGGACATCCCAGTAGTTAACTGACAAAGGATCCTCACCACTAGAACCAAAATCGAAGTTGGAAGTTTGAGTTTGAGCCGTTCTCTGCCCCCATTTGATGTATATAATATATATATATACTTTGAAGTTTGAGTTCAAGGTGATTTGGATCATGGATATATATATATATATATATATATATATTTGTTTTAGTTATTGTTGTTGTTGATTATTATTATTGTAGTGGTAGATCTGGATCTATGGAGATCTCAGATCAGAGCTTTATTTTTTTTTCTAGTTGTTTATTATTATTGATGATGATGATGAAGAAACAAATTGTATCAAATATGGGAGAATCACAAAAAAATTGAACAGATCAGATCTATTTTAACAGATAAAAAAATTGAATTGTTATTTTAACAGATAAAAAAAATTGAATAGATAAGAAATAGACACATGAAAAACTGGCTTGGTATTTTAACATATCACTGTTTGAATTTCAACACATAACTTTGTATTTTAACAAAATGTAAAATATTTAAACAGATAAGGAAAATTTAAATTGAAAAGATTAAAAAATTAAATAGATAGAGTAAAAAAATTGAATAGACAGGGAAATTTTTTGGACAGATAGGAAAAAATTTGAACAAAAGTCAACAAATAAGTTAATAGATGAAATTGAAAACAAAATATTCTTCAAAACAAACAAAAAGACTTCTCACCAAACTATTTCATAAATGGTGAACTTCTCACTAAACTATTTCACAAAGGCTGACTTCTCACCAACAAAAAATATTTACTAGATCTAATGTCTTATACCCTCTTTAATTTAGATTTATCACAAATTTACTCTTTAAAAAATAATAATAATAAAATTCATTTCAAAATTTTTTACAAAATATAGGGTACTAGTTCAAAAGTCCAAATTTTAACTTTATTTGCTCAAAGATCCAAGTGCGGAAATAGTTTGTCCAAAATGACAAGCTCAACTAAAATGACCTAAATACCCTTCCTTATATATCCTATACACACGGTCCAAACCCCTCCCACTCATTCATTCACTTACTCAGATCTCTTTCTTTCTCTCCCTTTCTTTCTCTCACTCCCTCTTTCAGATCCGTGTTGCCATTTCACCCCCTCCTGCCTCCTCGTCGTCGCTACTAGAGATAGCAATGGGGTCCTACCCTATGGATATCCATGGAGACCCAACCTAAACATATGGATTTTCCCTATTTTTTTATCCATTGGATTAATTAAGTGGGATTTTTTAAATACCCATAGGATATGGGTTGGAAATAGGTACCCACCCATTTTTTCATATGTTAGGGTTCTCATTCTTAATCTCATGGTCATCTCATTCTCATTCTCATTCTCACATAGCAGCGAAGGCAACAATCTCCATCCGATTTGCAAAGGCAACGATCTAGCGGCGGCGCTCTCCGTCGGCGTTACCACAGTGGTTCTCTGACATGGTGAGTTTCTCTATCTCGTTCTCTCTCTCTCTCTCTTGTTCTGTGTGTGTTTACAAATTTATCTATTCAATCCTCTTCCTTCTCTCCCACTTTAGTCAAACATTATTGGTGGGTTTTCATTTCTGTGTGTGTTTCTGCAATGAAACAACAAATTTGATGAGTTTCTATGTGTGTTTCTACAATGAAACAACAAATTATTGATGGGTTTTCATTTTTTTTCAATCACTTTAGTCAATATTGTGTATTTGGGTTGTATTTAGATTTATTTGATAAGAAAAAAAACTAGGTTTAACGCTATTTTATTGTTATGCAATTTAAGGTATTGTTTGTCAATGTCCACATTTGTTTTCTTTTGTCCAATCTGGTACAAAGCAAAGAGAATAAAGGGATCTGACTATTTTTTCTTTTATCATTTGAGTTGAATTAGGACTTGGGTTTTGGGTTTTTGGAACATAGAAGTGCTACTTTTAGGGAAATTCTTATGTAAAGTTTGGATTCAAGAGTAATTAGAAGTGGTGTGTTTCATTAATTTGCCTTTTATGAGGTGCACAGGCGATTGGTGTTTTTCATTTATATAACAAATTTGAAAAAGTAAAAGACTGTTTTTGGCTGTGGAGAGAATGTGGAAAAGTGAAAATAAAGTGAGAATTTTGTTTATGTCACGAGCCAAACCCGCCCCTATGGGTTTAGCATCGTAACTGGCCAGTAATCCTGGGATTACTGAAGGCCTCTGAAACAGATAAATGTAATATTAGGGGCTAGCGGAAGCAAATAACAATATACAACGTCCATTGAGCTATGAGACAGAAAAATTTTAAACTTTTTTATATACACATATACACATTAACTTTAAGTCGTCACATAAACACAGATTACACAAAAGGAACTTAACCCTATTTACAAAATACACAAAACTTGTTCAACCAAACACGAAAATAAAACTTAAACTTTAAGTCACATAGCAATAATCACTTGACATATCCGGAACCTCCACGGGAGGCACATAGGTTGGCTGACAAAACTGATTCTAGGCAGAAGCCTCTAAGCCTGGTCACGCGCCTGATCACCTACATACATAAAAAATAAAGTGAGCTAAAGCCCAGTAAATAATAACAGAGTAAAGGGTTTTAATGAATAAGTCCGTACAGATTCAGAAATCATAATTCAGTTTCGTATCAAAATCATACTTTGCCTAGATCATATACAGAAATCATAAGTCATGCTTAAGTTTACGTGATACATCCATTAGCATTAATAGAACAGAACGTATACGCGTAAGGTTACGAATAACCAGTTCCATAAAGGAACCTCCGGATCCGAGTAACAGAACAGAAGCTGAGCCCCCATGACGGGGCCTCCGGTACGGGTAACAGAGTGCAGACAGATATAAGTTCCATAAAGGAACCTCCGATACCGGGTAACAGCCAACGGATATCACATGATGCTAAGGATGTCACGAATACATAACAGAAATTGGACAATCATTCATTGTGCAAAACATATTACTTCAGAAACACAGATTCTATTTTATCAGACAGAAAATAGATACAGTTGAACATAACTTTACTAAGTTATTACTCACAGATGGCTGCAGAAGCAAATCAGATAGACTGGGCATACCAGATAAATCAGGCAGACAATGGCGTGCGACCTACACAAGCACATAACATATACACATTGAAATATAATACTACTCCATTGATCAAACTTGATTTTTCTAGTCTTTTTCCGTCTAAATAGTCCGAAGTTCTACTATGCTTATTTTTTCTCATTCAAACAAACCGGATTCTTATTTCACATATTCTTTCATTCCCTTCTTTTCCAAATAGATTGATCTTTTACTTTGCTTCTTAAACAATTACCGCTAGATCAATGATTCATTCTTTAACTAACTAATCTATATTGATTGGTAGCTTATTAGTCTTTGTTGAGTCGTAAATCATGTCTAGAATGCCTTGGAAAGAGATGACAATAAAAATGTGAACCAAATGCAATTTTTCAAAATATGCTGAAAATGGGTCTCCACTCGAGCGCCACTTTGGCCGCTCGAGCGGACTGTAAAATTTGAAAAACTTCTGGGAGCTCGATTTTCACGCTCGAGCGAGACTTTCCTCGCTCGAGCAGACAACGTAAATTATGAAAATTCTAGAATTGCAAATGAAGTTCAAATTTGATATTCAACGCCTCAAAACATGTATTTTTAGTACACAAAAATGGAAAACCATTGTATGATTTAGTAAACACTTCCAATTAGAAAACATTCAACCAAAATCATGTTCCAATTGCCCAAATTTAATTTTAATTCATTTTATTAATATCAACCCACAATTCTAAGATATAAATTACGCTTTCCAATTCTTGAACTTGCATGATGCATGTGTGATTGAACTCAATTTCATACAAGACAAATAAATTCAAACCCAAAAGGGTTATTTTCAAATTAACTTCCAAAATTTTGAATCTACTTCAATTTCTACACCATTTTACTAATTCCTTTTAATGTACATGAAATTGAAGTTATATGACCCTTAGGAAAATATTTGCATGTATGACATTAAGATTAAAACTAATTAATTTTTCTACATTCAAAATTAACTCAATGTTTAATTTTCCATAAACTTGATTTTTCTTATAAAATTTCTTCCTTCTTCTCTTCAAAACATGAAATTGTTTACCTTAAATTCCTCAAAATCCAAAATGCATGTATAAAACACTTACCAAATCTAACCAATTTTTACATCACCAAGCTCAATTTATAATTTGACTTCTTAATTTATATCATAATTTAATCGCAAGGTCATAAATTTAAAATATGAATTAAATTCTGAAATCTTGAAAACTTACCATGCATGTAATGGAAAGCTTCAAATATGTGAAGGATGAAGAAAATCAAACTCAAATATTTAATCTCAGTATCAATTTCTTAATAATTACTTTCTAATTTATTTTCCATAAACTTGATTGTACATGCAAACCCAAATCTTAACAATTCACAATATCTACAAAGCTTTATTTTTAATTCCTTCAAAATTCATGATGTATGTATCAATCTAGTCTAAATTCCTTTCCATAGCTTTCAAATTATAAGATTGAACTTCAACATAACTCAATCCTAGAATGCATGTAACATATAATTTCAAAATCCAACATATTCATGTGTGTATGTAAGGAATCACCTTCTTCTTAACATGCTCAAGCAAAATACATGTAATGGCCCATAAATCCAACTCTATACCATAGGATCTTCAAGATTTGAGAGACAAATCTTTGCCTAGAGCCTTCATAGACATTTAATCTTGCATAATTTTGACAAATCCAAGCCAAACTTGAGTTTCTCCTTCCTTTTCTTCACTTTTCCATTGGTTTTCCTTCAAATTTCCAGCAAAGATTTAAGGAGTTGAACTCTCCCTCATTCACGGTTCTCTCTTTCTCACCCACGGCTGTCTCTCTGTTTCTCACGGTTTTGCCAAGACAAAATGAACCACAGAATGCACTCAATAATAATAAGTGGGTTTGCCTACTCTCTCTCTCTCCTCATGTACACATATAAAACTTGAAGGCTTAATAATTTATTATATATATATTTAATATACACTCATAATTCTAATTTAGTCCACAATTCAATTTATTGTTAAGATTGATTTAATTAAATAATACATATAATTAAATTGACCATAACTAATCATAAATCTCTCATAATTTAATTAATCTAACTGACTTCTATTAGAGCCTAATTAAATATACTTAAGTTTATCAATCCAAATCAGATTTTTAGTCAGACTTCCAAAAAGGCTCCAAATATTAAATTGAATTTATTATCACTATCACTTTCGATTTCCCAAATCATTTAGGTCTTCAATTTCTGATCAGACTCAAATTTCCAACAGTAAATTACATATTCAAATTGGACGTTCCATAAATAACTTTAACTCTCAATAATCACAATTCTCAATCCTCATAATCTATTTAACTTAATTAACCGCAATTCGGACCCAATTTAATTGAATCTCAATTTATAAATCTGAATCGAATAGTTAATTAAACTTCCACACGGTCCGATATTCGAAATTAAAATAACTTAATATACTAATTGTACTCTCTTGAGCCATTTGGGCATTCTATTTCTAATTCCAAAATAAATCCTCAATAGAATCATGTATGGGTCAATCTCCATAATTTTTGTAAATCCCAAATTAATTATAATAATCGGCACTTAAATTTCAAATCCTCTTAATTACCCAAGTACTAATCATTATACGTGATGGGGTCATTACAGCCTTCCCCACTTAGGAAGTTTGGTCTTCCAAACTTAAGATACTTGTACAGAAAATCAGTCATATAACTTGATCTCACTTCAATTCCTCCCCTAGGTAACTCCTTTTTCATTGGACTTCTTCACGTAAATTGAACTTAGTTCCAATCACTTAATGGTTAATAACTAAAATTGGCAATTCCTTAACGTTTCTATTGACATCAATCTTATAATTTAGATACCTTAGTTCCTCAATCTATAATTCAGATACTTCCAATAGGAGGAGATTTTATTTTAAGAAATGTTTTTCAAACAGATCAAAATATTTTGCTATTGACATGTTAGATTCTTCAAATTAAATTTAATAGTCAACGCATTACTAATAACAAACACAATTTCTGGATCCTTCAGTCCTATTAACAAAAATACAATCCCGACATTATTGCTATGCAATTTGTAACTCATCCTACCCCAAAAGAACAGACATTTAACTTTCGTTGACTATGGTCAAGGTTCTTAAGTTATGCACATAACGTAACTTCCCAAAATAAGGTTCCACGTGTTAATCTATAACAGAAATTTCCGAATTATATGGAAACGTAATCACATATTAATGGTCTTAGTTTCAAACAAACATCTTGGGTACCAATTATGATGGTAATTTCAAAATAGAGGAGCACATTGGATTTCAAACAAAAGCATATCGGAGTCATAACAAAGCATATTTCACAGAAATTCATTGAGCCTATTGAATAACAGATGTTGGCTTGCTCTCATATAGTAGCAAGCAGTCATACAGATCAGAGCAGAACTTTACATACTTCTGTGAAATTAAAATTACCGTTTTGACAATCTAACTCACACTATCATTTCAAAGTGGTGATTTGATTTCACAAAAGGTCCATGTTTTATGCGGTCATTAGTTTCCTTAGTTACTTAAGATTACACTTATATACAAAATTCAAATTACATTGTCTTTATGTAAATTCCAATTCGTAGACCCATATAGACACGTTCACCAAATTTGATCAATTGTCACGTGGTAGTTTAGGGCTACACTTTCAATTTTCTTCAAATCATTATAATTAGCCAATCAAAATTCTTATGTTCCCAAAGGTTCCTTAAGAAATATGCGCTTGTCATTCTAACGATATTTACTTCCTTATTTCCTATTACGCTTTCTTTCTTCCGTTCGACACTAGAATTGAATTTATTTGCAATAGGTTATGCTAATGTCGGATTCAAAATCGAAATTTAATTATGCCTACAAGATCATAATATCATTCATTTCTAATCACTTTTCCAATGGGGAATTATTGTGTTTTCCTTTCTAGAAGTCTATATTTTGACTTTGTAGCTTAAGATAATTATAAATGTTTCTTTCAATGTTAGAAGATTCAATAGCGATACGATTTTTGTAAATTGGGTCTTTCCTTTCTAACTCTCATAAGTTTCAGTCTCCTAATATGGAGTACAATTTTCTGTCTATTCGAACAAGGTCCCAAAAACATATAGCTTTGTTAGACTAAACAGAAATCCCAATTATTTTCCCATGTTCATCAATTGGTCAAGTCTAAGCGATGTTTTAATCATTTTTGGCAATATCAAGTTGAGTTCTAAATGGTCCGACAAATGGGTTCCATCTATATCAAAACAATACATGACATAGCTTGTAACAAAACATGGGATGACATTCTTGACAAAACAAGGGAATAACCGTCCCGGAATCGAAGCACACCCGTTCATGACCGTCAGTGGCCAACCCGAAATCGATTAGACAACCCATCCGGAAAACCGTTGGTGACAAAACATAACCCACCCGTATAAGACCGTCGGTGGTACCATCCGTACATGACCGTCGATGGCAAAGAGATATCTCAACAAGGTGTTACATAAGCTTAACGTCCCTTAGCACGAAAGGACCTTTCAAGAATGTCATCACAACAAAGCTTATACTTGATACAGAAACTAATGGATAATCATTCATATTTGATCAAATACTTTTCCAAAACAAAGCAAAGTAAAGCTCTATCAAAGTATTATAACATAGCTTTATTAAAAAAAAAAACCACTCACACATAAACTGTTAACTTCAAACAGTCCTACTTGTACTCAAGTACTCTCCTTAACCAATTAAATTATTTGAGCTTTCTCTTAGGTTTGGGATAGTCTTTTATTTGATGCCCAACTTCTCACATTCCCAGTAATTTGATGACACAGTCCCCGATAGATCTTGTGACATATTGACATACTAGGATAACTTACCTCTCTTACAACTTGCTTAGAATTACTCATCTTTCTTACCACAAAATTCTTAGTTTTCTTCTTTGATTCTCTTTCACTTCCACACTTAACTCTTCCTTTTGATCTTGCCATAGGATTCACAGCTCTACTACGTTCTCTAGTACTTCTTCTCTTTTACCTAATCACTCTGATAAAGACTCAATTTCCACTCCATTCAGACTTTTTCACCATCTACTCCTAATGACGAAAGGAAAGGGTTAAACACAAGAAGATAATTGATAACATTTGGGTTAATTAATTGACATAAGTTATAACACAAAGCACATATCATATACAAGCAGACATACACATATAGGCATATAAGGACATTGGTAGGGTAACCTGTTCATTCCCTAGGAATTTACCAAGAATTTCCAACTCGAAGTAACGCTGGCCAAACGTGATTCCAATCGGACTTTCAAGATCATTCAACAAAGGCATGAGACTCTACGGTTTAACATTCCACATAATAGGTTCCCACCAAAATGTACTATCTTACATATCAAATGACTTTTCTCATCCTCAATTACCATAGTTCCACATATTTTATTGATCAACAATTTTCTCAATTTCTAAATATTCTCATAGTCCAATTTAACATATAACCCATATAGCTTTCATGACTTTCGTTAAAGATTCTAATTCTGCACAATACTATGTTTCCACAAATCAACATACTCATTCTCACCAATGTACTAGTCAAATTTTCTGATTTCCTTATAATAGTAGAAATTTCAGAGATGTCACCATAATTCCTAGCTTTCAGCCTCATCGCTAAACTGATTCAACACATTCCAGTTTCCTTATAATCATCATAATTCCATAATAGCTCATAATTCTTAGTTTCAATAAACATATTACACAAACATATATGCATATTCCTGAATGTACCACTTATTACTTACCTTCTACATGCATGAAACTAAGATCTGTTCTAGACATTCTAATGCTCAATGGACACGTGTGTGAGAAATTAACTCGTGTCTTGATACCACTCTGTCACGAGCCAAACCCACCCCTATGGGTTTAGCATCGTAATCGGCCGGTGATCCTGGGATTACCGAAGGCCTCTGAGACAGATTAACGTAATATTAGGGGCTAGCGGAAGCAAATAACAATATACAACGTCCATTGAGCTATGAGACAGAAAAATTTTAAACTTTTTTATATACACATTAACTTTAAGTCGTCGTATAAACACAGATTACACAAAAGGAACTTAACCCTATTTACAAAATACACAAGACTTGTTCAACCAAACACGAAAATAAAACTTAAACTTTAAGTCACATAGCAATAATCACTTAAAATATCCGAAACCTCCACGGGAGGCACATAGGTTGGCTGACAAAACTGATTCTAGGCAGAAGCCTCTAAGCCTGGTCACGCGCCTGATCACCTACATACATATAAAATATAGTGAGCTAAAGCCCAGTAAATAATAACAGAGTAAATGGTTTTAATGAATGAGTCCGTACAGATTCAGAAATCATAATTCAGTTTCGTATCAAAATCATACTTTGCCCAGATCATATACAGAAATCATAAGTCATGCTTAAGTTTACGTGATACATCCATTAACATTAATAGAATAGAACGCATACGCGTAAGGTTACGAATAACCAGTTCCATAAAGGAACCTCCGGATCCGGGTAACAGAACAGAAGCTGAGCCCCCATGACGAGGCCTCCGGTACGGGTAACAGAGTGCAGACAGATATAAGTTCCATAAAGGAACCTCCGATACCGGGTAACAGCCAACGGATATCACATGATGCTAATGATGCCACGAATATATAACAGAAATTGGACAATCATTAATTGTGCAGAACATATCACTTCAGAAAACAGATTCTATTTTATCAGACAGAAAGTAGATACAGTTGAACATAACTTTACTAAGTTATTACTCACAGATGGCTGCAGAAGCAAATCAGATAGACTGGGCATATCAGATAAATCAAGCAGACAATGGCGCGCGACCTACACAAGCACATAACATATACACATTGAAATACAAAACTACTCCCTTGATCAAACTTTATTTTTCTAGTCTTTTTCCGTCTAAATAGTCCGAAGTTCTACTATGCTTATTCTTTCTCATTCAAACAAACCGGGTTCTTATTTCACATATACTTTCATTACTAACCCTTCTTTTCCAAATAGATTGATCTTTTACTTTGCTTCTTAAACAATTACTGCTAGATCAATGATTCATTCTTTAACTAACTAATCTATGTTGATTGGTAGCTTATTAATCTTTGTTGAGTCGTAAATCATGTCTAGAATGCCTTGGAAAGAGATGACAATAAAAATGTGAACCAAATGCAATTTTTCAAAATATGCTGAAAATGGGTCTCCACTCGAGCGCCACTTTGGCCGCTCGAGCGGACTGTAAAATTTGAAAAACTTCTGGGAGCTCGATTTTCACGCTCGAGCGAGACTTTCCTCGCTCGAGCAGACAACGTAAATTATGAAAATTCTAGAATTGCAAATGAAGTTCAAATTTGATATTCAACGCCTCAAAACATGTATTTTTAGTACACAAAAATGGAAAACCATTGTATGATTTAGTAAACACTTCCAATTAGAAAACATTCAACCAAAATCATGTTCCAATTGCCCAAATTTAATTTTAATTCATCTTATTAATATCAATCCACATTTCTAAGATATAAATTACGCTTTCCATTTCTTGAACTTGCATGATTCATATGTGATTGAACTCAATTTCATACAAGACAAATAAATTCAAACCCAAAAGGGTTATTTTCAAATTAACTTCCAAAATTTTGAATCTACTTCAATTTCTACACCATTTTACTAATTCCTTTTAATGTACATGAAATTGAAGTTATATGACCCTTAGGAAAATATTTGAATGTATGACATTAAGATTAAAACTAATTAATTTTTCTACATTCAAAATTAACTCGATGTTTAATTTTCCATAAACTTGATTTTTCTTATAAAATTTCTTCCTTCTTCTCTTCAAAACATGAAATTGTTTACCTTAAATTCCTCAAAATCCAAAATGCATGTATAAAACACTTACCAAATCTAACCAATTTTTACATCATCAAGCTCAATTTATAATTTGACTTCTTAATTTATATCATAATTTAATCGCAAGGTCATAAATTTTAAAATATGAATTAAATTCTAAAATCTTGAAAACTTACCATGCATGTAATGGAAAACTTCAAATATGTGAAGGATGAAGAAAATCAAACTCAAATATTTAATCTCAGCATCAATTTCTTAATAATTACTTTCTAATTTATTTTCCATAAACTTGATTGTACATGTAAACCCAAATCTTAACAATTCACAATATCTACAAAGCTTTATTTTTAATTCCTTCAAAATTCATGATGTATGTATCAATCTAGTCTAAATTTAACATGCTCAAGCAAAATACATGTAATGGCCCATAAATCCAACTCTATACCATAGGATCTTCAAGTTTTGAGAGACAAATCCTTACCTAGAGTCTTCATAGACATTTAATCTTGCATAATTTTGACAAATCCAAGCCAAACTTGAGTTTCTCCTTCCTTTTCTTCACTTTTCCATTGGTTTTCCTTCAAATTTCCAGCAAAGATTTAAGGAGTTGAACTCTCCCTCATTCACGGTTCTCTCTTTCTCACCCACGGTTGTCTCTCTCTTTCTCACGGTTTTGCACCAGCAGATTAATTACATTGCATGCAAAAACAATGAAGCTCTCTCTCTCTCTCTCTTTGGTTCTCTCTTTTCTCTTTTCTATATGTTTGAGTCTAACTTCCCAGCACATGTATTACACACACACAACTTCTTTTGAGGCACCACACTACACACGAGCACAGATCCAATGCTGCCAGCGCAACAACAATATACACATATCTGGTTTCTCTGCACACCCACACTGGTTTCTCTGCACACCCACACACACTCACAATCCTAGATCCTTCTTAACTTGATTTATGATTAAGATTAGATTAATTAAATAACACGTAGTCTTTATAAATCTTATTTAACACACAAATAATTAATCATAACAAATCACAATTTCCATAATTTAATTAGTCTAATTTGACTTCTATTAAGGCACAATTAATTTTATTTAAATTTATCAATTCGAATCGGATTTTTAGTCTGACTCCCAAAAGGCTCCAAATATTAAATTAAATTTATTATCATTATCAATTTTGATTTCCCAAATCATTAGGCCTTCAATTTCTGATCAAACTCAAATTTCCAACAGTAAATTACATATTCAAATTGGTCGTTCTATAAATAACTTTAATTCGCAATAATCACAATTCTCAATCCTCATAATCTAATTAACTTAATTAATCCCAATTCTGACCCAATTTAATTGAATCTCAATTTATAAATCTGAATCGAATAGTTAATTAAACTTCCACACGGTCCGATATTCGAAATTAAAATAACTTAATTCACTAATTATATTCTCTTGAGCCATTTGGGCATTCTATTTCTAATTCCAAAATAAATCCTCAATAGAATCATGTATGAGTCAATCTACATAATTTTTATAAATCCCTAATTAATTATAATAATCGGCACTTAAATTTCAAATCCTCTTAATTACCCAAGTACTAATCATTATACGTGATGAGGTCGTTACAGTTTACCCATATTTCAATTACTCAAATATTATTTAATTAAGGTTTTGCACATTATGACCTTAATCATTTCCACCTCTGAGATTTTGCTGAAATAAAAAGGAAAGTGTCACTGCAACCTAAACAATTTATTTTATTGAAGTCAGTAACCAATCTACTTACATTCTCTCTAGCCAAAAACAATGTTTTCTGGCTTATCATTTTACGTTACATTTATGTTCCATGTCCACACACAAAAGAAGTTCTTTGTGATACTTTACTCAATTGTTTGATGGATTGGGATCTTGATAGAAAAGTATTTACTATCACTGTTGATAATTGTTCCACCAATGATGCGATGATTAACATTTTATTGGATAAATTGGATAGTAGTTCTCTTTTTTTGGGTAGGACTTTGTTTCATATGCGTTGTTATGCACATATTCTCAATTTGATTGTCAAAAATGGATTGGATGTGATAATAGTAGGTGTAGAGAAAATTCAAGATAGTGTAGCTTATTGGACAGCAACTCCTAAAAGAGTAGAAGAATTTGAAGAAACAACTCATCAAGTGAAAATTTTGAATACTAAAAAGATGGGACTTGATTGTGCAACTAGGTGGAATTCAACATACTTGATACTCCAAACTGCCTTGTTGTACAAGGATGTATTTTACCATTTGAAATATGAAAAGACCCAATATATAACATTGCCAAGTGAGGAGGAGTAGGAGTTTGCTAGAGAAATTTGTGGGAGATTCAAAATATTTTATAAAGTAACTGAATTGTTTTCTGGAACTAAATATCCCACAACTAATGTTGTTTTTCCAAATTTATGTGAGATTAGGATAACTATCTCTCAATGGCTCTTTTGTTCAATTGAGGTGGTTAGATCAATGGCATAAAAATGTTGGGAAAGTTTGATAAATATTGGGTTATTATACATGGTCTTATATGAGTTGCTGTTGTACTTGATCCTACATACAAACTTAGTGTGTTGAAATTTTATTTTGATAAACTTTATAGAGATACAGCTGAAGAGGAAATTGCGAAGATTCGCCAACTTTGTTATGATTTGTTGCAAGAGTGTCAAAGAAAAGAAAATTTAGTTTGGGGACTAATGCTAATGTTGAATATTCTACAAGTTCAAATTTTGGAGATTCAGAGGTAGTTTCGAATTATGATTTGTTAATTAGTAGAAAGCGAAGAAAAAAGTCAACAATGTAACATCAGAGTTGGAACATTATTTAGAAGAGGATATTGCGACAAGAACTTCCAATTTTGATGTATTAACTTGGTGGAAATCAAATGCATCGAAGTATCCAACCTTACAAGTAATAGCTAGGGATTTTTTAGCTATTCTGGTATCCACTGTTGCTTCTGAGTCTACATTTAGCACTAGTGGTAGGTTGGTGAGCCCGTATCAGAGTAGACTTCATCTAGAAACTTTAAAAGCATTAATGTGTGCACAGAGTTGGTTGTGGGCTATAGAGATGCTAGATACTTAAATAAATCAATATGTAATTATTTTTAAAATAATATATTTTCATTGAATAGTCTCAGTACTTAATTTCTTTTCTTATTTTTTAGGTAATTCAACATTGGAATCAGTTGCTTACGCTACTATATATGATGAGATGGATGTCAATCAAAGTTGATCTTTCTTTTGCATTTCCCTTGTTGGACAACTCAAACTTTCATAGTAGGATCTTTTTACATGTTATACATTGTCTTTCAATATATGGATGTGAATCAGAGTCAAGCAACATATTTTTCTTTGATCTTTATTATCCTTGTGTAGGTTTTGTTGCTGGAGCACTGCTGCTGTTGGAATGCTGCTGCTGCTGTAGTGTTGTTGCTGCTGTAAAAAACTTGTAAAAAATTAAAGTTGAAATGTCAAAGAATGCACTTTGTTGAATTGGGAGCTAAAATGCCAAAGAATGTGCATTAAGAGTTTAGTGTGTTTTGCTTTCAGCTGAATTAAGCCTTACTATGAACATCTAACTACTTTAATAATTTTGTGCAATTCATTTATGATGTTTAGAATTACACAGATAGGTACTTTAACATACATGTGTATTTAGAGTGAAGTCATGCATATATGGGCTTTGGTTGGCAAAGAGTTTTTTGACATTATTTTGTTGGTTTTGTCTTTAGGATCTTTGTTATGCATTTTGATTTGTTACAATTTATTTATTTTTTGTGTGCGCTACTATTGGGATGAACATGGGTAGCTCTGTATTAGTGTTGGTTAGTAGAGATCAGCAAACAATTCATTGTTTATGCCCTAATGCAATTTAATATGGGTCTTATAACACTTTCTTCAAACAGGATCTTTCACATTTTATTTATGCAAACAGGCTCTTATAACGTTGTAAACAGTCTCTTATAACATTGTCGGGGGAAGAGAGAGAGAGAGAGAGATAGTTGTAATTTATTTTTTATTTTTAATCTTCTACGTTCTTCCATATTTTTTTTTTCAATTACTAAAACTTATTTGATTGTCTCAAAATTATATATTTGATTATTTTAAAATAAAATTTTTAATTAATTAATTAATGTGAATTTGATTTTGTTGTTGAATCAAATAAAATAAAATAAGATCGAATGTATATTTAGCTTTTGTTGTAAACCTTAAAAAAGTAATTAAAAAAAAGAAGAAGAAGAAGTTGGTTGTTAACCTTAAATAAAAAAATAAAAATAAAAAAAAGGGGGCCAAGTTGGGCTAGGGAAAATCCAAACCCATTAGAAGATGGGAAGGATAGTATCCATGGGAATGGAGAAAATTTATTATAGGATAATGAGAATGGGGAATTAATATTCACCCCATTAACCTCCATTGCCATCCCTAGTCGCTACCTTCCCATCTTCTCGCTATCACCGCTCTCTCCCCCCTCTCGCCTCAGATCTACCTTTCTTGAAGACAAGTTTGCGTCAACGCCATGCGCAGTGGCAGCAGCAGTGGCAGAGCAGCAATTAGAGTTCAGATATACCAGCCTCGAAGAATATTTTCTTTCTAGGTCCATCCCCTTCTCTACTTTAAGGTAAAACCCCCATGTTTCTTCTTTCATACATGTGTGTGTATATATATATGTATATATGTATCTATTTTTGTGTATTTATGTAAGTAATTGTATTGGATTTCAAGAAGCGGAGTCGATCTATTACTGAGTATAAATATTAACGTTCCTCCACCGCTACAGCACTAATATTTTGATTTGATTTGGAATCTATAAATCCTTTGTTTCACTGCACAAAACTTATGGATTAGTTTAACAGTAAGAAGTCATGTCACGACTCGCTCCCCGTACCCAAGGGTTAAGCATCGTGATGGCCAGTAACTGAAGTTACCTACGGCCAATTCTTGAATAAATTAATAAACGCTAGTGGAAATAATATTTAAGTGAATGTACCAAAATAATCATTGGAGCTTCTATTTAATTAAATTGTCAGAGCTGAACTATGTCTACGAAGTGCTTTGTGCCTACCTCATACGCTGGCCCTGACATGTGGCCTGAAAGTGGTAAACAACTATAAGAACATGGCAGAGTGAGAAATACTATACTAAGAGCATAAGGGCATAAAATCACAATGGATAATTATAGGGCTAAACAGAGCTTGATGTTAAATATAGAATATATAATACGGAAATCATTTGGCATATAATACAGCAATTATGTAAATAACTATAACTACGGTACAGAATAGAACAAAACAAGGGTCACCGGCGTGACAATTATAATAGGGGTCAATGGATCCATAACAAACAGAGGACCACAAAGTGGCCAAACAGGGGCCAATAGTTATTTAAGTCCCCCAAGGCATGGGACCTCTGCGGTGGTACTTATAAAATAATTACTCAAAACACATTTTAAGAAACAGTTATATCCATGGGTTTTCCTTATTATATAAAATAAGGTTCATAAAATAAATAACATAATTAAAACATAATTATGTAAAATAAATTTTGGTAATTCAAAACATACGTAAAATATATTATGGTGACTCAATGTACAATATAGGGATTTTTGGTGAAACCCCCATTTTGGGCCTTTTTATTAGGGTAAAGGATAATCCAATCAATTTTCTTTCAAAAAGCCCCTGAGTAGGAAATGCCTACCTTAATAAGGACATTTTATATTTATATTTTTTTATAACAATATTGCCCCTCTATATATACGTATAATACATTTGAAATATTTGAAAT